TTCTATACAATTTCTAAAGGATTTCTATACAATTTCTAAAGAAAAGTGGCTTAATTCTCTATAAGAATCTATAGAAATTAACAGCATTTCTATAGAAAATAACAAGTGTTTCTATAGAGAGTAACGCTGTTATAATTTCTTTTCTATAGAAAACTATTATTTTCTATAGAAATTGACAATACTTCTATAGAAAAGAACAGCATTTCTACAGAAATTATTGCAAATATATAATTTTTTCTATAGAAAACTTTGTAAATCTCTATGGAAAATAACAGCAAATCTATAGAAAGTAACGCTGTTATAATTTCTTTCCTATAGAAAACTATTATTTTCTATAGAAATTCACAATACTTCTATAGAAAAGAACAGCATTTCTATAGAAATTATTGCAGATATAATTTTTTCTATAGAAAACTATATAAATCTCTATGGAAAAATAACAGCATTTCTATAGAAATTATTGCAGATATAATATATTTTCTATGGAAAACTGTATTATTGTCTATAGAAATGTACAGAATTTCTATAGAAATAATGCTGATATATTATATTTTCTATAGGAAAAAAAAACAGCATTTCTATAGAAAATAACGCTGATAAAATTAATTTTCATAGAAATTCACAGCACTTCTCTTGAAAATAACGCTGATATAATATTTTTTATATCGTTCGATCACTAAAAAATTGTTTTCACGAATCAAAAAAAAAGTGTAAAAATAAAAAATCATAGGCCTACAAGATGATTGTAATGTACAAATGTGTTTTGGTAGTTCATGGCAGGAAACATGAAATATTTGAACCCACTGTACAGAAATCCCAACAAAATGTATTCATTCTCAAGATCTTTATTTAACACATATTAAAAATATATATAACAGGTCAAACAACCAAACTAAAATAATGTTTGCATTGCATCATCTAAAAGTAGAAAAAAAAAAAACTGGATTCAATATCTTAAAAGAATAAACTGCATTGAATTTTACTAGCATTATGAAGTCACACGATGTAGCACTAGTGGTATTGTGCAAACATATAAAGATTTATAAAAATAATTTTACAGTATATGTATTTACAGTAAATTGCAGGCCTATATAAAATATTATAAATATATTAAATAACATCAAGGTACTGTAAGCGATATTGATAAGGGTAGATGAAAGAAAAAGTTTTATATATTTTTATATACTATTACAGTACAGTATTAGATTTAACTTTACACGAATTTAATAGAAGTGAAATACTCAAAAAAGATATTCCAAAACATAAGGTGGATAACCCTGCACAGTATGGACCATTCATAATTATCAACAAATGTATAAACAGTATGCTAAGGGGGAAAGGGCCTGGTACTAAATACAAAATTAAATGGAAGGAATTTACAAAAGCTTAAAATATTGATTGAAACCGGTTTTCTAAATTTAATAACATGCCAATATGGATTATTTAAACCTAATTATGTATCTATGTACCCATTGAAAAAAGGCCATAGAGAACAGTATTGCAAAATCAACATTTTCCATGAATGTACACTTTTTAAAGGGGTTGAGGTGGCAAAAAAGAGTACACTTTTGTTTACAATTGTCATTGGCCCCTATGTAAGTTTAAACTTTAAAGAAAATATACTGTATACTCAGGTACTAAACAGAGAGCTACAAAATAAAATACAGTTACTGAAATAATTGCTACTCATATAAATAAGAAAATATTGATTTTATGCACATACAATAATATGGCAAGACAAAAATATTTAAACGAATGTTATGTTTTAAGAAAATAGGGTAGATATAATTATTGATGTGGAAGTAGCATTTCTATTTAATAAAGCCAAGCTCTGAAGGACATAAATCTGTTGATATGTTGTAGAATTAATCTTTCTAAGCCTCAAAGTATATTTGACAAAAAACTTGGAAGCAGTTAATGAGAGAGATACAGATTTTTGAATATTTAAAAACTGGAGAAAAAGGGTGGTTATGTCTCTTTTCCCCCAGTTTTTAAATATTAAAAAATCTGAATCTCATTAACCGTTTTTTTTTTGGTTTTTAAAAAAAAACTTTTAAAAAAAAAAAAAAAAAAAAAAAAAAAAAAAAAAAAAACCTTTCTGAGCCTAACTTTAAGACGGCCTACACACTGAAACATCAAATATAATAAAATACTCCCACAAATCTAATATCACTAGAACGAAGATTGGAATTAAAGTTAAATAACAAAATTTTAAAACAAAAATGCATACATGGTATTCCCAATTTTTAGGCTTGTTCATTTTCTTTATTCTGTTTGACAGAGACTGCCTCAAAAGAGTGGTTGATGCCTCAAGATACTTCTTATCAGTGAAATCTGGGGGTAAAAAAAAAATGCAAAAAATTTGAATACTCTTATAGGCTTCTAAATCGAAAACTCATAAACGGGCAACCAACAAGAGCAGGATGAATTTTAATAATTTCGGTGCAATGTCTAAAATAAGTTATGGTAATCTCTAAAGAATAAAATGCAGATACCTTAAAAGTAGTGGTCCAATAAAAGTATTATTTCATATTTTGTTATCTTGTACAAAATCTAAATATAATTTTAATATAAGTATTCCACTTGTAGCAAAATATTTTCTTCATTAACTGTCTAATATTAAAGTTTCTTCCTTCAAGTGCTATGCAGAACATATACAGTAAAATGTAGCTACTGTGTAGGTTAAGTCAGTAATAAAGATGGGCTCCCTTTTGATGGTTATTAATTGGTTACAAAGTGACAATGCAAACATTCAGATTAAAATTTAAAGAAAAAAAATGAATGTCTAACCCAAATAAAAAAGCTTTACATGTTGATGTACCATTTATCTTTTGAAATATAAATCCCTTATTACAGTACATAAGCCTGCAGTATCTTCATTTAAAAGGTAATATACAAACTTATTTAACAAATTACCTACCTGTTATGGCAGTAATTCAGATGGGATTCAAACGCGCTTTCTCTACCGATGTTCCACATGTGCGTTGCTTTTCTTCCCTATCATGGATCCTTTTCTATAAGTAAACCATGGCCAATGTCAATCTATTGGAAGATAGATAATTATTTACTATTTATTAGTAAACTTTCCTCCCTCATTTGCGCATGCTATTAGTATTTAACTGTCAATGGACATCCATGGAAAATATTCACACCCCAGTTAATTATACCATATTTTTTGGTCAACAAAAATATAATTATGCTTGAAATATTTCAAACTTTAATTATAGCATAATTGAAAACTTTCTATGTGTAGAATATTAGTATATTAAAAAGTTCCAGCTATTGATGTTTTTGGGCATGACTTGTGTGGGTGTCGCATTTAAAATACCAATTATTATATATTGAGGTCAGACAGTTGACAGTTAACAAGCATTCATTTTGAAAAAGAGTGAAGTATATTGAACTGTGCAAAAAGCAAGTTTCAATATTTTTGGTTGACACAAAATACAATAAATAAATGATATTTAAAGAAAAAATGCATTTTCTTTTTTAAATTTCTTAGGCCTACCTAGCCTAGGGCTAGCCTTAGCTAGGCTAGGTACTGTATAGGCCCTAGGTTAAGGAAGAGGCCTAAGCCTAGGCTAGCTAGGCCTAGGTAGGCAAAAAAACCAACGATTTTTCATTTGTGTCCCAACGCCCGTACCTCAATTGAAATTCTTAGGTTTTGCCTAGGGCCTGGCCTAAACAGTACAGTATACGTATAGAAACACTGCCACTGCACTGACTGACAAACTGACCGAACTAAACTTGATACTTAGCTACAAAATTATACCTAGGCTAGAATAAGTAACTAGGCCTAGGCGTATATATGTGGAAGGAAATTATGTTTTCTTTACTGTACTTACCACAATACTGACTGTGCATAGACCTTGCATGGTGCGGACTCTTCTCCTTTTTTTCCAATGGCAATATAATAGGCCTAGCGGCTATCCTAGGCTAGGCTGAGTTTTAGTAGAAGAACGTCCAAAATCCTTATTCAATCCATTTAACTAGTACATAGACATTGCTACAGGTATTAACCATTTCAATAAAATATCAGTTTGCGATTATTACTCCAATTATTACTGAACAAAAGGAGGACACCACAACAACAAAGGGAGCAGAGAGCGAGAGAGATGTCGATGAAGACCGTTCCGTTAGCTTTCAAATTTCACCACCCAGTTGAGGAATGTACCATGTTTAATAGAGGGGAGAGGAAACAATTAAAGACCAGTTATAATTCTTATTTAATGTATTTGTATGAAACCTTCTGTAATTAATCATTTGTTTTGTGTAGGACAGTATAAATTTTATAGCATTTCATTTCATACACTAAATAATTTACTAAATCGTACAACTCAACTCATAAATTGGACCCCTATCACGGCCAGATCCATTGTCTGGTTATTGAAAACGATGTCTATCTCTCCCATCTGGAATGATTAAAGTAGGTTTTAAGTTACACAACAGTAACTTTAAAATGGTCACAATGGTTGTTTGTGGATTTTGTAAGATTAAGTATTTGTTACAAATATGTGCATTAAATTAATTTTTCATTTCAATTTTAAAATGTGTTGTAAGGCTAATTATTTGCTGTTTTTAACATTTAATTAAATGTTTAATTTAATGTTTAACTTAAATGTTTAATGTAACTTAAATGCTTAATTTAATGTTTTTAACATTTTAACTTAAAATGTGAGCATGCTTATTGATACTGTAACTTATGCATCTGTTATACATTTCCAAACAGATATTCTATAGAATTCCTAGACAACTTCTAGCAAATGTTATAGATGTCTATAGAATTTTCTATAGAATTTCTATACAGCTTCTAAAGAGAATGTTATAGATTTCTATAAAATTTCTCCAGAAATATGAAGCATAATTATTTGCGACAAAATGATACACATATTAAACTCTATGCATTATTTAGTTACTCAACATCAGACCATGAGCCGAATGCAATAGTTTTATTTATTATTTTTTTTATTATTATTATTATTTAATAATGTTTAATGTTCAAAACCAAGCTTCTGCAATAACACATTTATTGAAAATCCATTGTAGGTCACCAATACATAAATTGTGCAACAAACTAATTTTCTATAGAGTGGAATACGACATTCTATAGAAAATATTAAAATTCTATAGAATGCGTAAACTCTATAAAACATTTCTATAGAATTTTTTTGCCTCTATAGAGTTACATAGAACTCTATATAAAGTTCTATAGAATTCTATAGAGCTCTATAGAACTTTTTTGTATGGGGGGGTCCCCGTATGACAAATCATGGCGCCACCACTGCGTACGGAGCGTATCGGAGCGTACGTTCGTTTACTTACACAACTTAGCTAACAGTCCAGTCTTCTATACACTTTGTCCTATTGCATTTCAGGAGAAGGTTCTATATGAGTAGCTCCCACAACGGTTGTGATGGAGACAGCGGATGGTTTACTGTTGAGGAAGGTACGCAATGTTCTAGCTGGCAAGGCTACAGTAGCGACCCAAGAATAATTTACAGTAAAGCAGCGTCACAACAGAGTTGGTTTTTAGGAGGTAAGAAAAACTATGTATCACTTATGTATATTGTATATATATTTTTTTTAAATTTTAGTCGTAATTTTTTATTTTTAGTCGTAATTTCGTCACTGCTTACGTAATAACAGAGAAGCCAATGGCCTCAGTCTAAAACTTATGTATGTCTTCTTGCAGATATTGGGTCAGCCAGAGCAATGGTTATTGATGTCAAAATTGGATAACGAAGCAGAATGGAAGAATTAATGATGTCATCAATCATATACCACGCCTTTATAAGCCACTTTGTGGTTTGAACTGTACATGCTTGTACCAAGTTCAATCGACATAAACAAACATACGCACAAGTTGGTTTATAGTCTTGTTCACATGTCTCCATCGATCGCGAGCGGTTGAGATGCTGGGTCGTGAGCGAGATCGTGTTAGATAAAAAAAATGGCCAAACTGCGTTTCGCTACCGCTTTCGAGGCGACCGGAAATAGATTTACGTCACATCCCCAATTGGTTGTCGACATGCTAGGCCCGCGATTTCTGATCCTAGGCCTGGGTGAAGGTGGCATCGACGATCCTCCAACGGTCTCACATGAAGGCCCGGCTCGCGAGCCGATCGTTCGCTTGCGAGCGACCCAAGACATGTGAACGCGGTATATGTCGATTGACCTTGGATAAGGGCATGCGCAGTTCAAACCACGAACTGGCTTATTACTGCTACATTTTGAATAATGTTTTGGTCTACTCATCCTGCCTAGAACGTATAGTTAAGTCTATTATGGTACAATTATTTAATACACTCTTTTATTTTATAAGAACACATTTTATAAAAGACTGACGCTGAAATTTCTAGAAAAAAAAAATTAAGAACAAAATAAGATCGAATTGAGGCTGAGGAAAAATGTCAAACGAGGTTTTTATTATTTTTTTTTTAGCTATAAAAAACAACTAATATTATCTGTACCTTAATGTGCAGTAGGTGTGGCTATGCTGCTGCACTATAATAATTTGCTGTTTGAAAAGTGTGTAAAAATAAGAATATTTTGAGCCTGAAATCGACCAAGAAACAAAAACACTGAGTCTTGGCAAAATGTTACTGGTTCTTTTAAAAATAAAGTAAATTAAGCTTAAAAATGAATGAATGAATTTTGTTTCAAAAATAAGTGGGTCTAATAAGAAACATTCTAGTATTATGTTTTAATATTTATTATTTTATTTTATTTTTACCTACATATTAATATAGCTGTATGTACTGTTTGAGGCCTCTTTGAGCCTCCTTGAGAAATATTGTTGAATAAACAATAATAAAATCATGAGTCTTGTAATATAAACATATCAAAGACGGGATGGCTCCGCTATTCGTTATTCGGCACTCCATCTGTAAGTATCGCCCAAGGCCCCTCTATTATGGTGTGAGTCGAATGGCCGAGCGGTTAGCAGGGGCGCCGAAACCTACTCCCATAATATCGCCTAAGGTTCTGGTGGCAGAACAAGTAAGTCTTCGCGGATAACGATTATAAACCGTAGGCCTAGTGTACACAATTGCTCGTGTGCACTCTAAACTATCATTTTCGAGACGAGCTATAGTGGGATAACCCGTTGTGGTACAGACAACCCCTGTGGTGGACGATGAGAGTTGCTGGTATCGGGTTACCGGGTAGCCCCACGGAGGAATTAAACTAGTTCCTCCATGGTAGCACAGATACGAAGGGACCCTTAAAGGAGCAGAATGTCATTGATCGAGTTCCTGGCTATACATATTAACAGTTTTGATTTGTTGTATGCCAGTTTATACCATAATTTATTAATCTAACGCCTTGTCCAGACTAAAAAAGGTTCGAAACCTGAAGCAGGCCGGAGTGCCCGTCTCTCTTACTTTAGCGTTTGGGCCACTCCTCCCGCACTGCAGTCTTTTACCTTCCCAGCATATGCCGGTACCCATTTATACACCTGGGTGGAGAGAGACAAACGTAGATAAAGTATCTTGCCTAAGGACACAAGCGACTTGCACAGCGAGGGTTTCGAACCCCTGACCTCAAGGCTGAGTGTCCGAGCTACAACCGTTGCGCCAACCGTTTCTACAGACCATCAAATTTTATTTGACAAAAACATGTCACATGTTTCTCTTCGCTTCTTTGCAAATCCTTAGCTTCAATACATTGCATAATGTTGTGTATTGATTTTATTATTTTGTATTTATACATGTAGGCCACATCTATTTAGATTATACCGCTATTTCATTTCATTTTTATTCATTATAATTCTATTATTATGATTCGATTCCTATAGTAAACTCTTGCTATGGTAAGTATCGTTATTTGCTATTGCCATCAGCTTATATATAGACTACAAAAGTGTGCCATTATTTCACTGATGATGGTAATTCTATGTTCTATTAGATTTGGTGAAATTCGGTACGAACAAAATGCTACTAATCATGACGAATTTATTTTCGAAGTAACATTACGTTTAACTGATATCGAATGTCAGCGGCTCCAAGGGTAATTGCTTTACAATAACTTAAATATTATATTACTTTTAAAAATAACTTTAATGTTGATACTTATTCATTACATCTTGAAGACTTGAAATATAGACGGATTCTCACTAAACTTCGTCTAGGTATTCTCGAACTTGAAATCGAAACGAGTAAATAGATTAATTCAGATCGAAACAACCGAAAATGCAATTTTTGCTTTTTTAATTTATTTGAAGACGAATAACATTTTACATTGATTTGCCCATTTTATTCTGACATTAGAAATTATACCTGCATATTTTATTTCAAGTCCGTCTATATTCAAAGTCGTTCAATATTCACCTGTACTCCTAATATTATTAGTGATCTAAATTTTGGTATCTATCCTTTAAACGCAGAAATGATCATATCGATCCTTAAATTGTTACAATTATATTTATATGGTCCAGAGGCCATGTGTAAAAAGTACGAATAAATGTCCTTGGCCCTGTGCCAAGGAACGAACGAACGATTACCTAAAAATATATATTTTTTTAAATTAATATATTTTCTACTGCTACAGCGATCCTTAAGAATATTAATGATGATTATGATGACGGTGATGATGATCAAACTGAAGAAAATGGTAATAATAATATAATATGATATAATAATAATAATAATAATAATAATAATAATAATAATTATTATTATTATTATTATTATAATTATGATAATAAAAAAATAATGATAAAAATAACAACAACAACAACAACAATAATAATAATAATAAATACTGTAACAATAATAATACTGTAATAATATTGAACAAATTCATCAGTTTTCAAGTATATTGATTACTTTACAAACTAATCGATGTCGCTATGCCAATGCTAAAGTGGTATTTTCTCAATATTTATAGGCCTAATTACTTCTGTCATCGTTGTGGGCTTAATAAAATCTAAACGTTTCTAATTCGAGATGCAGCAGGCTGAAAATATCCCCAGTAGAGGGCGTATCTTATAGATCTCTGAATAGTGTGGTCGCATCCTATTATTATTAGCGCTATATCAAAATCGTGACGTCAGAAACGTTAAAAAAAATTAAGGGCGCTTGAACACCACAGTGTCTTCGTGGTCAAGTTGTTATGACATTCGCCATGTATGCGAAAGGTCCCGGGTTCGAGTCCGGGTGGAGAAACGCCTACCTCGAATAAACGCCCTAAATATTGTTCTTTTTAAAGATGTGTTACGTTTTGTGTGGAAAATATTTTATTTTGAATTTATGACTAGTAAGATATCTCGTAAGTAATTTACAGGCTGGCCACGAAATCCATAATCTAAAAATACTTTAAACAAAAGGAATGGCAATGGTATCGAAGGCACAGTTTGAAATAACTGAATATATTGATTTGATCAATTACAGTCTGCAGGCGTTCACATTTCATTTCTTGCAAAAGACTCGTATCAACATGTACCCAGGAGATGATGCAAGTAAATGCTTTCTGCTGCTCTTTACCTGGACATACACAGGTTAAAAACATTTTATTTGTCTTGTTCTTTTCTTGCATTATGAATGAAGGCCAACTCAGACAGCGTCGTACGACGCAGCCCGACGCGATTTGTTGTCGCGTCGGGTCTGTGTGAGTTAAACGCAGACGCGATTGTGTGCGTCGGTGGCAGTCGCGTCGTAGAATATTAAACATGTTTAATATTTCTCACGACGGCTTAAGACTGTCCCCGACGATAAATCGGGTCGGGCTGCGTCGGCCGACGCTGTTTGAGTTGGCCTTGATCCGTTTAGCACATGCGTTCTGTTGTACATCGCGTCCGTGTGAATGTGTATCTGTATATGAAATTAATTACCGGTAGCACGCTTGTCAATATAAAGCCAATGTTCATATAGAAGTTCTGGTTTTATTGCGGTAATAATAATACAGTTACGCTTATCGACATGGACCATTTATACCAACCAAATATTGCGGTAGTATTGCCATAACATACGGTAACTCCTTTCTGTATGAATGGATCAAGCACACTGAAAGAGGCATTGGTCATCTTTTTAGAACACTGCGATAAATACAAAGTAAATACAATGGAAACTGACCAGACTAGACTTCATAGTGATTTTTCTTTTACGTTTTAGGTTTGGTATGAAAAGTAGACCTTTTCATACAAAAGGCAATGTTGGAAATGGCTTAATACTCCTTATACACAAGCATAACTTATTATTATTATTATTATTATTATTATTATTATTATTATTGTTATTATTATTATTATTATTATTAGGCCTATTATAATTATTAGGCCTACAGTATTATTATTGTTATTATTATTATTATTATTACTATTATTATTATTATTAGTATTATTAATATTACCTTTATTATTACTTTAATTATTACTATTACTATTACTGTTATTATTATCATTATTATTATTAGAGTATTATTATTATTAACATCATCATTTTTAGTTTTAGGTTTATAAACAATAGTTGTCCGTATCAGGGGCGGCTCAGATAGGGTCCNTATTTGACAAAATCTAACATCTGTCTCTTATACACATCTAGATGTGTATAAGAGACAGAGTTAGGATCGCACGTTGCGCTGGTTGAGATTATTATTAGGATCGAATTCGGTGGTGGGGGTGGGGGGTTGAAGTCCGTGGAGTGATGCTGTTCCCCCGTTGGCACCGCCACTGATTCTTATAATTGCATAAATGATGTGTTTTATGTGCCCGTCTCTTTTGTAGTCCAAGCGACCTGTCCAGATTACAATGGAGAAACGCCGATTGCCAGAGAGCATATATCTGACGGCACATGGACAGGAGTACATGTTGGGAATCCGATAACTTGTGACGGGTTTGTAACAGGTTGGCGGTTCTTTCCGACCAGGGCTGTAGAGTTTATCGCTCTGGTGATGCGCCCGTACGTCGCTGCTGACAACAAATACGCTGTAGTTGGACGGACCATAATACCAGCGCAAGAAGTATTGAATCAGATTCGCGAGTTTACGCTGCAGAAATCGGATTGGATTCCCGTGCGAAGTGGCGACAGTATCGGAATCAAGTTCGATGTATCTCCGATACCGTACGGTAATAGCGATACTCCGTTTTTATTTACTACATCGATTAGTAAACATGAATTGTTATTTGGAACTATTCACACATTCGATCGGTTATACATGGAAACTTATTCACTCCAGGCTGTGTTAAAAGGTAAGAAAATACAAAACAGAAATTAATTTCCCCTCTTCAGATTCGAACCTATGAAGTCCAAATAACTTTGTCACTCTATATTAATTATGATAATAATATTTATTTCTTGGGAACAGAGCATTGGGAGCAGCATTTTATTTAGTTTATTTCTCTAGTATTTCCATTTTTCGGCGTTTATAATCAATATTACCATTGCAGTCTTTCACCGATGGTATATCTAACATCTTTAACATTTTTAGATCTATTGTTACATTCATTTATGAAATAATATCAAAATCAAAAATACTACAAATAAATAAAATAAACTGGTGCCGTGTGATTCGTGAAGAAATAAATTGATTTCTATATACAGTAATTACATAAGAAAAAAAGCCCCACAAATTTTTTTAAATATTAATACAAACATATATTTTTTTTAGATTCGTATTTACCATGTCATATTATTAATTGGCCATTAATGAAGACGACGACTGACATTGCAACTGCATCAAGAATTTGGATGGATGATTGGAACAAGATTAAGTGTCCTGGTACGATCACTGGATGGCGGTTTATTGCAGGTGGACCTGGAGATATCATCGCTCTAGTTTACAGAGCGGTGGACGCGGACAATAACATTTACGAAGTCGTTGGTAAAACAACAATTCCGTCACCCGCAGACCGCGATGTAGTTACAGAATTCAAGCTCACATATCCTCAGCAAATAGACGTCATCCCAGGAGATAAAATCGGCGTAACCTATACAGATGCTGCGCTGTACGTACTTACGGTGACGTTCTCCGATGTAGCAACCATATATAAATTTACCGATAAACCCGATACCGTTGAGATTGGAACTCAAATTACATTTACAGAATATTTCAACCGAAGGTTCATGTTTGACGCGGTTTTAGATGCTGAAAGTAAGTATTATTCGGATTTATAAGGGCTCTTCCAGTCAATATTTTGTATAACATATAGATACATTTAACAAAGTAAGGCTATTAAATAATCTTTTAGGTCTACTTTTATTATAAATTTGTTAAAATCAGATATTTGTTGTTTACAACCATAGAAACGATGACATCATAATCATATTGCCCACAACAGTTCTATTGCGAAAACTACATGATGAATTATCCATTGATTGTGATTGGTTATTCCTTCTTGTTTTTTATATTCTGTTAAAATAACATCTTATTTGTATATGTTTGTGTCTGTACTCTGCTATAGAAGTAAAGCCTGGCTTCCATAAAATCGCTACAGTGTTTTCAGTGCAATCGTTGTACTGCATAGCAGTCCCTGACGCAATCGGGAAGGATCCTTCGATTTGACCGACCAATCAAAATCACCGAAAGCTGTCGACGATAGCGTGTAGCCATTGTATGGAAATTAAGTGTTAATATGAATATAAAGGAATGGTTAGGAATTGGCGCCATATTTGAGATATTATTCTTAGTATGAGACAAAACTTTTAAAATTCTGATATTTCTTTGTCTATAATTAACACATTTCAATCAATGTTAATTTAAGGTTCAAGATTTATTTTCGTCATACATAGTACATATATACCAGATTTGTAGAAATCGAATACTATAACACTATAATATACATAGAAAACAAGGTTGATCTATATTGTGAGGTCCAGGAGAGGAATATGGCACGGAATGTAGTATAGTGAAATACAGTAAATAAGCTTGATAATGAAATTATCTACTGAAGTGTTCGTAAGACTCTTATTGCACGTAGTAAAAATGAGTATTTATGACGGTTGGTACGCTTTAAAGTATTCTGCCAGATTTACTAATTGATATCAACTTGTTAAGTGGGTGAGTTTGGTCCTTCGCTATGTCCTTAATTTTATTTAGTAAGGCACCTTCACATAAACAACTTACGTAATTGATTTCCGTACCTATTATTTTACTTAATTTAAAGTGGAAAAGTCCTGTTCTCGACCATTCTAAAGTAAATTAGATAGGCTATCTTCACCAGACTTTTACGAAAGAATATCTTGTTCGAAACAAGGGATTAATTGGCTTTTTGGCTTTACCCAGTACCACTCGACTATAATAATCGGCAGGAAATTTAGCATAGAGTAACATTTCGAATAAACTATAATAATCATTATCAAATCGTCTGTTCCTAAGTAATAGTTTTCATTGATATAATTGAATATTTATCAGAACCGAATGATGTACACCGGTCTACATTGATTGCAAACGATCACAAACTTCAAAATAATAACATTGCAATTACAACGAGCAAAAGTATGGGGACCTGTGTCATTAAATGCGTTGAGAACGAACAATGTAAGTCAGTCAACTACAACCAGAATCACATGACATGCGAACTTAATGACGCTACAAGGGAAGAGGATAATGGAAACTTTGTAGCAGAGGATGGCGAAAGATACATAGAAACGAGTCGTTCGATAACGGTAAGCCGATTGTGGTTGTAATGGTTAGTGGTAAT